TATGCTTGGCCTAGGTACTCCTCATGGCATGCGGGACAAAGCTATACTATCCAGCCATCCAATCAGTGGACCTCCTGAAGGTCGTCCAATCATAACCAACCACATTGATCTGCACCCATGGTCCTTTGCTTTGTGTGTCATGGCCTTTGATCTGATTATGGAAGAGTCCTATGGCTGTTTGCCCTTCCACCACCGCTGCGTGTGTATTTTTTGTGTTCGGATTAGGCGGCCTTCCGGGAAGTAAAACGAATTGAGTGGATTTTCTGAGAGAGAGTGGTGTGATCCAAACATCTGGTGACGTTTCTGTTTTCTGATTTTGTCCCGTTTGTTTTTGGGATCACCTCACGTTTATTACATTTACATTTACATTTAGTCATTTAGCAGACGCTTTTATCCAAAGCGACTTACAATTGGGGGATACAAGTAGCTTCGAAAGAGATGGGTTTTCAGCTGTCGCTTGAAAATTGTCAGGGATTCAGCATTCCGGATAGGGGTGGGAAGATCGTTCCACCAGCCAGGAGTGGTGAACGAGAATGTTCTGGAAAGTGATTTTGAGCCTCTCTGTGATGGTACCACGAGGTGTCGCTCACTAGCGGATCTCAGACTTCTGAAGGGGATGTAGATTCGTAGTAGTGAGTGCTACGAAATATTAGATTATCCAAAGTGTCTACAACCTTCTGGCCAATTGAAACCCACGTAATAGAGTGCCGTACAATAGAGAATCTGTGTTTTCCATGCACGCAGCCATCTGCTGAAGCTTTAGGTATGGGGCCAGCAATCACATGACCACACACATAAACTCTGTGGGCATGTGAGTGGGGTCTGCTGGTCTGGGCTGTACGGAGCAGATTACAGCTCAGCACGTGTGAACTAATCCATGTGTTACTGATGGGCCAGAGCGGGCCTTGCTCCACCACAGCTGTTACTGTCTGAGTTTGTACATGCTCCTTTATTTCCCAGTGGATTGTAGCCATCGCTCTGCCTGTAGTGTGTGTGTTTATGTATGTGTGTTTAACCAGGGGTGCAGCAAAGGTATATCCTCAGCCCGATGTAGGTCTCGTTCTGTCTCCCCCTACTAGGGATGGGTCTCAATGTTCGACTAGTTGCACAACAACTGACTAGACGGATGGAAGTGAGACTAGTTCATCCACATTTTTTCAATGGTTTGTTTGTAGTTTTTGATATTTTTAGTGCTGCTTCTTGTATCACATCTCACACAGTTTTTTGAGCATCCCACCATGAAAATTGCATTCAAGACCTGTATGAAGTTAAAAAAAGAATCAAATTTTTTTTAAACACTTGCAGCCTATTACATTACTTCGTGATCTGTTGATGCTGAATAAGACTAGTCCGTCGACTAACTATATGCAGGCAACCCACTCACTATTCGATTTTGAAAATATGTATTTTTGCACATCCACCCCCCTTCGTGTGTTGTACAGTAAGCTGTCATTGGTTCAGCCCATGCATGGCTCAAAGGCTTCTTTGTTTCCAAGCATGTTTACATATAGTGCCGTCATAGTGTCTGTCTCTACTCTCTTTCCACCTGTATCTGTCTTTTCCTCCTACCTCTTTATTCATCTCCCTTTCATTCTCTCTATCCTGACTACCCCCACCTTCTAACTTTACATCTGCAACCATCTCTCCCTCCCTCGTTCTCTGCCCACATTTGAAGGTTGCTTTTATTCTCAGCATGAGTGTACATTGCTTATAGGTTGGTACATCTCTCTAATGTCATGCTCGCGTTGCTTTTCGTCCAGTTTTTGGACAGATTACATGAGAACCGAGGACTAGCACCAATAATGGCCTCCCATCTGTGTGTTTAAGTGGTGGGGGAGGATACCGCTCGCGTTTAATCTGAGAGCTGTTCGAGAGCTTGGGACTGTTAATGATATGATGGGGACACTTCTGCATGCTCACCCATTGTGACATCATAAAGCACATGGCCAAACCTTTAAATAAAGCAAGGCTGGTAATGCAGATCAAGCTGTCAGTCCTGCTGTATTGATCAGATCCGAACTAGGGCTTGAGAACCCAGAGCCTGTTCTTGCTTTGTAATCTGTGCAGTGGTGTGCAATAACCCAACCATGTGACACGACGCTTTAAAGGCATCATGTGAGGCAATGGAGAAAAATATACTACGGGAGAATCCGTAGGAAAAAACCCTGACGTTTTTAGTGTGCATGCATTGCTGTACGGTAACTCCATGTCATCATTATGGCTCGGGGTTTCATCTATATTACATGCACGTGATGCTATAAATAGGTGGTTGATTGTGAGAGAGGATGCAGTTTGTGTTCTCACTTAAAGAAAAATGCTAAGATTCAGGATGCATAGACAGAGGTGCTGCGTGGGAAAATGTGAGATTTCCTGCTGTTGAAGCAAGCTATGATTATACATGTGTATATATGGATAGTTGGCAAATAGCCAGGCCAGTATGTATTCTGCATACTTTTTTCCACACACTTGTGTGGGGAAAATGTGTTGAATATTTTGTTCTCAATGCAGATTATAATTTAAGAGTGTGTTCGAATGGCGTCGACCCCCTCTTGACCTTGACATTACTTATTACCATGCTAGGCCCATAGCATTATGCCAACTCCATTCATTATTTACCAATAAACCAAGCAGAATCTGGAGCAAGCATGTGTTTTCAACCCCTAATAAAACCCCCACCACACCAGAAAACAGAAAGGACGGATCTATCTATCTATCTAAAGATGTATGTGTATAAACATTACAGTGCAAGCAAGTGCACATGAATGCATTATACATTATATATTGCATTTGTTTGATAATTAAATGTAATCCAACATTTCATGATCGTGACAGCACTGACTATGAGTGTGTGTGTGTGTTTATTTTTATGAGTCATTTAAAGGAAATGTAAAGATGTTTTGTCATAATAAAATTCTTGCTCGGGGTGTAAGAGAGAGCAGGTCTGAACACGCTCAAACATAAGAGGCACGTTTGATTTGAGTTATTATTAAATCGAGTTGTGGGGTTCTCTATATGACTAATGCAGAGGAGTATAAAACTTGGCATCTTCTACCAGCGTCAGATCTTGACCAGAAGAATAGACTCCGCTTGCAGCTTTGAAGCACAGATTCTGCACACCCACGATTATCAAGGGTCGTTTGTTTACTCTGTTCCAAAACCAAATGAACTGCCTACAGAGGCAGCATTTTAAGGCAATATAGTTAACTTGTTTTAGTCACATTTGCCTTTGTGGAAAGGAAAAGGCAATCCCAGAATGCAGTGCAACAAAAAAGTATCAAAAATGGTGTGCAGAATTGTGCTGTTAGCTCCATTGGAGTCAATTGTAAGTTGAGTTTGCCTTGCAGAGGGTTTTTTTTTGTCTGTACATGTAAACTTTTTCATATCAGCCATTTATGAGGTTCAAAGACTGTTCACTATTAAAAATAAAGGTTGTGTCGGTGCCAATAGCCTTGTGGGCAGCGCACCCGACATACAGCGCTGTTGGGCTATGGGCGTCCCAAGTTCGAATCCTGACTCGAGAACTTTCCCGATCCCGCCCCCATCTCTCTCCCACTTCGCTTCCTGTCCTGTCATAATAAAGGCCAAAATGCCAAAAAATAAATCTTAATAAATAAATAAATAAAGGTTGTAAAAGTTTTTTTTTTTTTTTTTGCAGTGATGCCATAGAACAACTGTTTTCGGTTCCCCAAATAACTTTTCAAAGAACAATTTTTCTTAATGTGAAGAACATTTGAAAAATCTAAAGAACATTTTTCCACTATAAAGAACCTTTTGTAAAGTAGAAAGGTTCTTCATTGATACCAATAAAGAACCCTTATTTTTAAGAGTGTAGCATTCCTCTTTAGAAGGCAGCTGCCTATGTAGGAATCAAACTGCTAATTTAGATTTTGCAACAAAGCTAACGTGATAAAGTTCATCTATGTTACATAACTTTACTGCGCATGCATTGTCATTCGAACTGCAAGTTATTCATAGTAACTGAAACACACCTAACTTTACCTAGAACATATTACGTGTCAATTTTTTTTTGTGTGTGTTTTTGCTTTGGTTTCTGTTTTGATTTCTCGCATTATGCAACCAATCTTTTTAGGTACCACAGAAACTGAGGTGTTTAATGCGTGATGTAATAATTTGGTATTTTAATGATTTTTTTTTTCACTTAGCCTGCGAGACGACATACTTAGTGATTGTTGTTTGGCACGGTCTCTTGTCTGCCGACTGAAATGAAGTCATTTATCACTCCACACACACACGAAAGCAAACACGCACATATATACTATACGGCCTTCCCGACAAGCACTGTTTGAGTGCGTGCCGTGACGCTGTCATGTCTGGAGACAGATGATATGTAGATAGCGTGAGAAGTACTTTAAAGATATTTGCATTACTTCTGGTTGCCATGGTGAAGGGGTTGTAGGGCAAAATGGGTGTAGATGAATTAGAGGCCTGGTGCAGTCATTTGTATGAGCTACAAGTAAGTCTAAAATACCAGTCTGCTCCCTACAGCCATTAATGCACCAGGTTGATCAATCAATGTCCACACACACCGAGGCAGACACTGGAGCGTCTGTCTGTCTGTCTCTTGATTGTTCTATCTATCATTCTGTCTATAGTTCTATTATGTCTACCATTCTTTGGTTCCATCTGTTGTTCTTTATATGGTTCTATTGTTCATTCTTAATTTTTATTTTATTTCAAGTATTTAAAATACTTATTTTTAGTTTTAGTTAACACTAATAACTGTTGGACACATAGGTCACTTTTGCAACAGAAAGGAAACAATCTCAACCTCAACTTTTGAGTTCCTAGAATACAATCTTCAGGTAGTCAGTGGCATGTGTGTGTGTGCGTGTGTGTGCTTTGTGTTTAAGCCAGAGAATGAGGTGTTGTCTCGTAAGCGGTTGGTCAGATCACACAGGTACAGCGAGTTCATTGCGTTTTTTCAGGGTGTGTGCGTGCGTGTGTGTACGAGGCTGACGTTTCTGTTTGTCATGTTTCAGGCGAGCCCACCTTCGTTTGTGTCTGGAGCGTTTGAAGACTCTCATCCCGCTGGGACAAGACTGCAGCCGCCACACCACTCTGGGACTGCTCAACAAGGCCAAAACACACATAAAGGTAAACACACTTGAGAGGAGCTCCTAAATTAAGCTGATGATGTCGGAGCTGTGGCCTAGTGGTTTGCGCACATGCTCGGACACACTGAGCCATGGTGCTCATGTGGGAAATATGAGTTCGAATTTGGCTCGCCACATTTACTCATCCTGTAGCCCCTGTCTCTGCCTGTGATCTCCTGTCCAGTCTAAACAACATTTACTGTTACTTCTTTGTCAATTAATTCATTTATTTTATTCATTTATTTATTTATTTTTAATTTTGACATTTTGAGATTATCGCATTGGCGGATAACCACACAGGTGATAAGACACCAGAAACTTCCAAACTCTTCCATATGTCAATATGAATAACTATCAACAGCATATTCAGTGTTATTTTAGTATTATTAATATACCATTAAAATATTTAGTAATGTTTTGAATTGTTTAATTTAAATGTTTAGTGTACGTTTTAGTAATTATTTTTGGTTTTTTTTTTCACCTTTTTTTTTTTTTTTTTTTTGCTTTTTTTAAGTTTTTATTTTTAATAATTTTAGTATATCAACTTAAACTTGTTTTATGTCAGGTAGTTGCCAAGGCTTTTTTATTTTACTTTTTTAGTTTAAGTTTTGCATGTAATATTTGTATTTTATTTAAATTTAACTTCAATTAACTAAAAATGTAACTAAAATGTAACAGGTTTTTTTTTTAATAGTTTTCGTTTTTTGTTACCAATAACAACACTGCATTAAAACACTAAAACACTTTCTTAATTAAAAACGTTTTAGAAGTAAAGAAATTAACAGTAGTTTGAAAAATGAATGTTCATTCACATGAGATAAAGTCTGATCAGTAGCCAAATAAAAGCGGTTTTATTTATTGTATGTAAAAGACTACACTTATATAAAATATTCACATCCGCACATTTAAACAGCCACAACACCTTACAAAAAACCCACAGCTTCGTGTAAGCAGAGCCACATCCCTTAATGTGACAAATCAGTTTCTATGCCTTAAGAGCTTTTTTGTAAAACACATGTCAAGCACTAAAGACAGATACTTTATTTTCAGTTTGGCTTTCATTCTGATGTCCTACTGGTTTTCCCCTAATAACAGGTTAAGCTGTCCCGACCAGTTACATGTGTGTGTGCGCGTTAGTGGTTGTAGCTGGGGTCATGCTGAATAGTTGTAGCGTAATGTATTATAAGGTCACAAAGGTCACATGTGGGGGTGGGGGTGGGGTTATTGATCCGAACTGGGTTCAGAACTGTAGTAAACAAATCCATTAGTCACATGAGCTTGACAAAACACACATCTTTAAATCACCCGTCCTGCTATTTCATATAGCATGATGTTAATGAAGTTGTTTAAAATTTTGGTTAGTGCTCTTGCAAATCAATGCAGGTTTGAATCTGGCTTGCAACATTTCCCAATCCTGAAGTGATAAAAAGGAACAAAATAAATTAAAGGTCTTATAGCGCTGAACGTGTCTTTACTTATGCATTAGCTGTAATAACCATTGATTACACTGTGAATTTTTTGTGCGTGCCGTTAGTGATTTTCCGTAATTATCCGTGAGTCACCGTTCTTTGTCTTCCCACAGAAACTGGAGGAAGCGGAGCGTAAGTCTCAGTATCAGTTGGAGAGTTTGGAGCGAGAGCAGCGTCACCTCCGGAGGCGTCTGGACCTGCTGCGGGGCGGCGGGGGCGTGCTGGAGGGCGAGAGGATACGCACTGACAGTGTAGGCTCCACCCTCAGCTCAGAGAGATCCGACCACTCTGACTCAGACCAAGGTTGGAGCTTCATGTGTTTATATATCTATTATATATAATAAATACATATCTATCTATCTATCTATCGTTCTATCGTTCTATCTATCTATCTATCGTTCTATCATTGTCATTATATCTATCATTCTGTTCTATCTATCTATCTGTCTATCTTTCTGTCTGTCGTTATATTGTTCTGTTCTATCTATCAATTGTTCTGTCAGTCTATCTATTATTCTGTTCTATCTATCTATCTATCTATCTATCTATCTGTCTGTCGTTATATTGTTCTGTTCTATCTATCAATTGTTCTGTCAGTTCTGTCTGTCTGTCTGTCTGTCTGTCTGTCTGTCTGTCATTATATCATTCTATCATCCTATTGTTCTGTCATTCTATCTCTCATTCTGATCTATCTATCTATCTGTCTGTCTGTCTGTCTGTCTGTCTGTCTGTCTGTCTGTCTGTCTGTCTGTCTGTATATCATTCTATCATCCTATTGTTCTGTCATTCTATCATTCTGATCTATCTATCATTCTGTTCTATCTGTCTGTATCTGTCTGTCTGTCTGTCTGTCGTTATATCGTTCTATCATTCTATTCTGTCATTCTATCTATCATTCTGTTCTATCTGTCTATCTATCTGTCTATCTGTCTGTCTGTCTGTCGTTATATCGTTCTATCATTCTATTGTTCTGTCATTCTATCTATCATTCTGATCTATCTATCATTCTGTTCTATCTGTCTGTCGTTATATCGTTCTATCTATTGTTCTGTCAGTCTATTATTCTGTTCTATCTATCTATCTATTGTTCTATCGTTCTGTCAGTCTATCGTTCTGATCTATCTATCTATCTATCTATCTATCTATCTATCTATCGTTCTATCGTTCTGTAGTTCTATTTATCTGTTATTGTCATTCTGTCTATCTTTCTATCATCTATTGTTCTGTCTCTAATGCCAAGCTAGATATCTTTTACCACTTCATGTGACATACCTGATGTGATACACGATGCTATGAACATGTTGTCTGACTTTGTTTCCCTTTCTCTCTGTGAACACAGAAGAGATGGAGGTGGATGTGGAGAGCACAGAGTTCTCTCATGGAGAGCTGGACAGCGTCAGCACAGCTAGCACCAGCGATCTGGACGACCACAGCAGTCTACAGAGCACTGCCAGCGATGAGGGCTACTCCTCCTGCAGCATCAAACTGGCCTTCAGCTCATAAAACGAGCTCCTCCTTTACACACACACACACACACACACACTATCCCAGCCCTCGAAGTGAGTCCTGCCTCCTACCCACCTTTCCCTCCTCGACCAATCGGAGACCCTTATTTAAGTCAGGTGACCAGAACACCGCCCGCCCTATAGAATGCCTGATGTGTTGTTTTAAGTTTGTGAATGTATCTGAGAGAATATGAGTGAGATGGAAACAATCTGTGATTGTGATTATAATTGGGTTATTAGATGGTTACATTCCTGAATAAGAGACTTTTCTGATAATTGTCATTATCCAAATCCCCTTTTTCCGAAAGGAAAGCTAAGATGTATAAAAATAGATGTTTAATTTTGAATTCAAACCCCTGATTGTTAATTCTCTACATGAATGGGTCGTGAACTGGTCACTAGTGAAACATTCAACTAAACCCACCCAAATTGGATCACCTGACATGTTGTAACTCCATATCAACCCAAGAAACCCAAACCTGTTGATTTCCTTCTCATCCGGTCTAATGGTTCTAACGTCGCTGCTCAACGGCGATGAGGACTGTCATTGGTGCTACGTGACAAAACCAATAAAGCAGAAAGATCTACTGCGTTCATCAAAGACGACTGAAAATCTACGATCCCACGGCTGTGGGAATTTTTGGTGCATTAAACCGTGGAGCTACTTTCCACGCAGCAGCTAAAACCCAGCGATCTTGCACTCGACCGTGTAGAGCCCTCCGTAGAACTGGCGCCACGTCAGAGAAATATCCACCCCTGTGTTTAACTATAGATGTCTCTCCTGGCAGAAGTAAGCAATAAACTCTTGTAGTCAGATCAACACATTAGCACTCCTACTCCTGAGACACAACGCTTGTGTCCGTCCAAAAGAGCAACGCCAACTTGCTCACTTTTGTACATAAATACGATAGTTTAATAAATTAAAGTTAAAATAAAAACTGAGTTGAAAAAAAGGTAGTTACCCATGGGTAGAAATTGCTGTATGTCTTGTGTTTTGTGCATTTTAAATTATATTTTTGCAAAGATTGACTATCTTCCACCTGAGAGTCTTTTGTGGTGGCATGGACAGTATTATTTGTTCATTATGCTGGATGAAACCTAAGTAGTTTCAATTCTGTGGCTGCCCGAGGAATTTGACGACTTTCTCTAAACAACCAACACACTGAAGTACTTAAAATCGGACACACAAGAACGAGTGACCGCAGGCAGTGGTCGGTGGGACGCCAAAGCGCGGACCTCTGTTTAAGGCATGCTAACTCTGAGTGGCGCTCTTTATTTATTCGATCTTCTGTTCAGAATTTTATTCGTTTTAGCTGAAAGGCATTCCACTACTAGTGTCGTGTGCTGTGGACGTGGAGTGAGCGGCGCATGCGCGTCCAAATCAGCGCGAAGCGCCACGAACTCTTGCTTCCCGCTGTACTGTATGTTAAACTCGTTAATTTCTTTATTTTGTGTGAGAAGAGGCATTCAGACTTGATTAACTTTCCTCAAGTAACTTAGTATTTATTTTCTCCCCTTGATCCCGAAATCGGAGGAAATTAAGGGTTGACTTATTTCATTCGTCAAATCTTTGATGGCATTCCCCTCCCTTTTAGTTTCCTAATTCTCTTCTAAACCGTAACCTCACTCCGTCTGTGATTTATTATTTTTATTTTATATTTCCTCCCCAAATGCAGAGCTGCTTTTTAGTGCGTTTTAAAGCCAAGTCTAATTTGTAAACGTTCTGCCTGCAATAGAGCAACACGGACATCTGCTAGGTGTCCAGATCCAGCATCAACCAAATGCTTTTGGCTGCTGAACGGCCCCATATGTGTGGAGTAGTTGTACTCACCCCAGTTAAGAGTTTTAGTATTGACTGTTTTAGTCGGGTGTAAATTCATTGTTTAGAACAAACTGAGGTGAACGTCACGGAGGCGTTTTTTCACGTGCGTTGGTGCTTCATCAACACCTGGCCAAACCTCTGCTGTCGTCCTCACAAGAGGACATGTTGCTTTTGTCTATCCTTTTCATTCATATTGTTTTATTGGTTTATGAATATGCACTATTTAAAGCCAGGGCCCATACTGAGATGCCGGTGCTTTTAGTTTAGTTTTATTTTATTTTATTTTTGAAGAGAATGGACCGTGTCCTCTTGAGGCCACCGTGTACCGATCCAGATCCGAATTCAACGATACTTCCCAGAGAAGTGGTGCTGGTCTGGGATCAGCTCTCAGTCGCTCCGGAGGAAAAGAAAAATGCTAAACGGATCCTGAAACAGCATCTATGTTTTGTCAAGAGACTCGGGGAAAAGGGTCTGTTAGAGGCGAAGCTTTTCCACTGGGAAGGAACAGAGGTCCCGATGAACTTGTGGCCATTCTTTGTAAACATCCACTCTGATTCTAGCTGTGAGTTAAAATGCAATACTTACAATAAACACCAAGATTGTCAAAAAAAGATCAGGAAATGCTTTGTGTTTTTCTTCATTTTCTTTATTGACTTAAATCTCAGTAGGCTACTTGTCGTTTTAGTACTGATACACATGCACATAATTATTTTCCCCACACAAAATAATGAACTACTTTAAGAAAATACAAGAGCCATTTTGTTTAGTGTCATGTGCATCTGCAGTTTGGGATGACATGATATCAGAATACAAATGAAGCACTTTTCAATTGGCGCCATCTAGAGGCCAACTTAGTACATTAACATTTTCTGTTGAGCACCCATAAAACTGATGGTGCATGTTTATATTGTAATTAAATATTTTTTATCATTGTTGTTAAAATATGAAATTTCTAATACAATGTTGATACGATCTCAAAACGTACGCTGTTCAGAATTTTTTTTTTTATTATTAGTCCTCTGCTGCCCTCTGCCCTCATTTTTACGAGGTACGACCTGAAAACACGGTTAAACCTTTGAGGCTCTTCTGAGCACCCTCTAGCGCCCTATGGTCTCCGAAGTGTAGGCCCAATGCAAATTGGTTTACCTAGTTAATTATCAAAATTGTTTTAGGTTGAACAGTCTTGTTTTGGTGTTCTGTTTTAATGTAGAACTTATAAATATCTTCTTAGAACGTCTATTTCATGTATAATACGGGTTGGTATTGTTTTGAAGAATGTCTGTTTGTCAGATTATAAAAGTGTGCCTTTGGCTCCTCAGCGCCAGACTTGCACCCAGTCCAAGCGTGCGCTGTCGCCTCACCCCATATGCATGATGTTTTAATTATTATGAAATATTTTATTATTGTTGATGTTGTTAAAATATTAAATATTTAATACAATGTTGATACGATCTCAAAACAATTTATTACTGAATTAATCTATGTAGAATAAGCCTCAAAATTGTCATAGAAAACTTTATGCTTTTCACACACAATATATCAAACTGAAGACTAATATTATAACAATAAAAAGGAATAGGTTTATAAAGTCTGTAAATTAAAATAAATTTGTGTGCAAAAGGGTTCAAGTTAATGAAAGCAAACAAGCACATATGAAATACACCAAATTTTGAGGCTTATTCTACAAAGATGAATTCAGTTGGCTGGTGTGTAACCTGATGCCATTACGTTTTATATTTATTATTATTAGTAGTAGTAGTCATTTGAGACACACATCTCTGAAGAGTCAGCCCTCATGCTTTCTGCCAGCTGTGCTTTTATTGCCACACATGACCCGGCTTTAGCTGACAGGATGCATGATGCTGCTGAGACCAGTACCAGCTTGAAGCAACATCAGGCCAAAATCTGCTGTGAGTCATGTTTTTTATTTACCAATTCTTTATAATCATAACAATCATTGCTTGTAAATTGGACTACAAATGATATGCTGTATGTTTTCAAATAACGAAATAAAAATTGGTTGATTAGAGTCATTTTCTCCTGAATCAGACACTTGTCGTGGCGCTGTTTATTGGGTGAGGGTATGGGGATAAAATTGCAAATTTTGGTTCACGAGTTCACACTGACATATAATGTGATTAAGCAATTAGTAGCATATTTGGCGTGCTGTTTTAAAAAAAACGATGGCTTTAAAAACACAATAAAAGCATGCTTGACTTAACAACGTTGGTGTTGGGCATTAGGTGTTGAAAAAAGTCTGTACAGTGTGGTCAGAGCAAACTTGACAGATCTAGTAACTGATCTGGGATCAAATGTGAGCATAAACTGTGATCTTGATGAAAATGATGTTAATTTGATTTTACTGAAAACAGCAGATCCTCCAACAGTCATTCTACCATCATTCTCAACCTCATCACCACATTTTTACCATAATAAAACATTCAGAAAAAAAAAAAAATTCAGTGCAGTTTAAACCGTCTGGTTATAAATAATGTGTCTGTTGATGAATTAGGAGTTTATTACTGTATGAACACAGAAACACCTCCAAAACTCAGCAACAGCACCACAATATTCATCATTGGTGAGTTCATTTGCTTCTTCAGTGATCAAAACACACTGATGATCACATTTAGTACTACATTTTTTAGATACTTGTGAAAAACATAAGTATATCCTCTTTTACATAATCGCAGACATTGTACAAACATTAACAGTTGTTACTTTAACAGACTGTGGAAACTTTCATTACAGAATCAACTCAACTGAGTGTCACAATCATACAGTTTATTGATCAGAATCAAACACAATGGCAGATTATTAGCATCATATCGGCTCTGATGAACGGACTTCTGATTATTGTGCTGATCGGTGAGTTATTTTCAGATCTGTAAAAATATTAATATAAAGTTTTTTATTCATTAAAGCAAAAGTAAAATTAGTCAATGCAGAATTTTGGCTACCATTGTTATTTTGACATTTATGTGAAATTTATATAAACATTTATATATACATCATTATAAGGAAGCAGTATACAACGTTTAGTGAAACTGAGTAAATTACTGTTCCTTTTACAGGACTATTAAACGTTTTTGTATTTGGGAACAGAAGGTCTACTGATCGATCACAACAACTCAACGCTGATCTACAACCGACACAAGTTACAGAACAGCATCAGGATCCACAGCAATTACAGGTAAATTATGTGAAACATAGTATCTTCTATAACATTTATTTTGCTTCAGAGACAACTGCTTCTGAAATGCTACATTTGTTGTCCTCATTTCTCTTTCAGTACGCTGAGGTGGATTTTTCCAAGCTCCGTAGAAATATTCGGTCGAGCCAAATCAACAGCACCTATGCTGCTCTAAAGCTGCCAAAACCATAAACATGTCTATCAGTCATAATCTTTTTGTACTTTCTTTATGTTAATATAAATCTGAAATGTCTAATAACAAGCTGTATGGTAGACAGATTTAACCAGCAAAACATTAACCAGTCTGTTTTCAAAATGGGTTTATGAAAAATAAAAAAGGTGTAAATAAGCTTTTTTATTATTATTATTAATTAAAAACATTTTCTTTGATTGAATGTGATAAAATGTATAATATTATTGCTTCATTCTGGGAAAAAGACTAAAAGTTTGGAAATCATGAAATGAATCACAATTATGTTAATTGACAGCCATAGGTGTCACAGATATGAACTCTTTTGTTGTGTGTTTCATTTAGTTTCTGTCTTCTGTTCTGGTTTAGGTCCTGTTTGCCTATATTTGGTTCTGTTCCTGTTGTCATTAGTGCATTAGTTCATTAGTCAGTGTGCTGGAGCAGGGGGAGCGATCTCTCGAGGACCACGCAAGACTCTTCCTGGAAGTAACTAATTACACCAGCTCCGGACGACGCCTGCAGAGTGAAGTCATCCGAGGTGTGTCCTTGAGAGACTTTTTCCACCGTTGTGGAGTGGGTACTGGCGAGAAACGGATCTCCGTTCACTGTCGGACTTGAGGATGATCTCAAGGCCAGTCCCACTCCAGACCCAAAACCCAGCCCAGCATCACCTTGCCTCGTGGAGAGTCTGCCCGAGCCCACCACAGACGGAGAGCAAGAGCCTGCCGCGGTCGACGAGCCATCGCCATCGGGAGCAACCAGGGGCGGATTGGCGATCTGGACGTTCTGGAGAAGTCCATCTGATGGCCGTCGGTCTGGCTGGTTCATCATCAAAGAAAAAGTGTCAGATTAAGTGACGTTGACGGCCGACAAAAGGGGGCGCTAATGCAATCTATTTTGCTTATAAGAAACTGAAACTGACGCGAAGGAGAGTGGGCTCGTAATGGCAAGCAAAAGATGTGAAGATAAACCCTGCGTTCCATTCGGAAGAGCTCATCCCTATGCCCTAATCCCTTAAAGGAAAGTACACTTCGGAGGGCGATATATCCCGTTTGGAATGCACCGAAAGGCAGTTGGAAGAAGCTAAAAGGAAAAAAAAGCAAACAGTTACATCAGGTTACCTTTGCCTGCCTCTCTCACTATACGCAGCATGTAGCCTATAGCACTGTAGTAAAATCCCAGGTCCGAGCGCCCACTGCTATTTATCACTCCGCATTGTCTGGCATGAATATTCCATTCATTCATAAAGAGACAGCAGCGATTCTACAACGGGTTACATTTGAGAGCTATTGAGTTAGAAAATAGTATGGCGGCCATGATTGTTTTCACTCCAAAGTACACTTCGGAGGGCGATATATCCCGTTTGGAATGCACCGAAAGGCAGTTGGAAGAAGCTAAAAGGAAAAAAAAGCAAACAGTTACATCAGGTTACCTTTGCCTGCCTCTCTCACTATACGCAGCATGTAGCCTATAGCACTGTAGTAAAATCCCAGGTCCGAGCGCCCACTGCTATTTATCACTCCGCATTGTCTGGCATGAATATTCCATTCATTCATAAAGAGACAGCAGTGCCAGAGCCTCAAATGTCTGACCGGGTGCGTGAGCCGGCAGTACCAGCGACAGCGTAAAGAACAGTGGTGATTATGGGAGCAAAGGAAAGCCGCGGGGCTTGTTTTTCTTACTTGAATGCTTATGTTTAGATGTAAAATGAAAAAGTATTACACTATACACTTTTTTCTTTGTTATATTTGCTATTTTTTGCATCAGTTATTATTTATAACAATAAAGATAAAATTAAACCACTGCACCACCGCTGAGGGTGAGCTTACACTGGACTCTGGAAATGTAATCGACCTGGATACGGATATACTCATCACTCAACCTTCATCTGAACTGTCTGATTGGCAATATATCCCACCCTGCCTCCCTCTCCCGCCTCCTCTCGTTGATCTGTTCCCTTCCTCGACTTTTATTTTGCTGGATCCTATCAGCCCCTCTGCTCACCATCTGTGGCGTGAGCGAACCGCGGGTCTGCCAGACTCCAGTTCCATTGGCGTCGAGTCTGGAGGACTCC